TGTATGCCAACACATCCATCTCAACATCCTCATTTTTGCTACTTGCATCTTCTAGACGCGCGAATTCTTGACTATGCCCCATGCAACATAATTGGTCTGACAATCACTTTATAAATGTTACCTTTAAGCCTTGGTGGCACATTCTTATCACACAAGACATTGTATACATCGTCGGTCGCCCATTTCCTTGGATTATCGACCTAAACAATAAATAATCCAACTGCTTCTTTACGCGTGATGTTCTCCCAGGCTTCTGCTCCGATCAGCTCACTATCCAAATATAAATATAAAATCCCTTTAATACTAGCATCCTATTAACCCCTTCAGACTGAACTAGGCATGTGCAAATACTATCTACAAATCAAATATGTGGCAGAAAAATTTTTTAAAGAAACATTCCAAAGCTCTTAGACAAATAGAACAACACCAGTATTCAAAAATTAAGTTCACTTAAAAATTTAAAAAGGCATACAAGAAATCACAGAAGCATGAACAATAGATCCACCATTGTAGTTTCTAAGTTACTTGCAGCAACTTATATTTCAAACAATGTATGAGAGCATAAACAACTGAGAGATCAAGTAAAGGTAACATAAAAAATCAGTATCTGAGAAAATAGAGCTCAATCACTACAAAGCAGCCAGTCTAAGCTGTTTTCTGATAATGCTCAAAGTTAATTTCTAATTAAAAGGTTATGCAATACCTTCAAGATGAAATATAGCCTTCTGTCCAAGGCGCATCCTATGCTCCTGAAAGACACACACAGATTTTCTTAAGGAAAGTTTTAAGCTATTTCTTGATAAAACAGCAAATATTAATCCATGCACGAGAAAATTGCAGAAATATCTATATAATAGAAGTGCACATAACCTAATGACTGATTCAACAAAGAATATAAAGCATCCCTTTACAACCCCCAACCCCCCACCCACACACACCCCACTAGGAGACACTGTTGACACGGTAATTATTACACCTTCTACCTCAATTTATGCGATATTTTTTCCTTTTTAGTGAGTACCAAAAAGAATGACATCGTTATATACTTGGTAACAATTTAATTATTTTTTTTGAGATAAAGGTAACAGTTTAATTTTAAAACTTCCCATCTAACCCTTAATGAGATGATTTGTAATCGCATAAATTTATATGGCTTGTTTTAGACCACAAGTTTCGAAAGTCATTCTTTTTCTCTTAACTCCATGCACAATAAAACACCTTCACATAAATTCGGACGGATGGACTATTTTCTAAACAAACAATTATTAACCCTGACCCAAGTTATAAATTGCTCATATTATTGAGCTTACCTTGATATTAAGATATTTTCTTCTACATATCATAATAGTGTTGTTGGTCTTTTTCAAGTAAAATCCAACTCAAATCAAACCACAAACCACAAACCACAAACCCCGTTACCTTCATGCATGTATAACCAATATAGGGGCTCTGAGTTCATACATTGACTTGAATCCTAATTATACTTGGTTATAATACTACAGAATGATTGATCATCCAACCCAAAACCATAAGGCAATGGTTGGAGTAGTCCGACCTTTAGAAATTCCTTTGATTCCTTAACCCTCATCGACCTAATATGAAACATTATGTAACTCAATAACTTACATAATGAGCAGCCCAGTTGGACACCTCATGCTTCAACTCTGAATCCAATTTCTTTAATAGTTCGAAAAGCAGCCTCTGCAGTTGAAAGCATAATCATTCAAACATAAACTTTTGTAACACCTTACAGAGTGGAAGGTGAAGCACCTGGAAAAAAAATCTTACCTTCAAAATAATTTCAGGGGGAATACAATTAGTTAGTAGCTCATATAACTTTCCTCTTACCTCAAATAACCTGTAATAAAGAACATTGCAGTTCAGATAAGGAGGCAAATGTACATTGTGTAGTTGTGCTGTCATAAGCACAATTAAGACCCATGTCTTGTTCAGATTGCCCATGGGAAGTTACCCACCTCCCTCCTTCCCAGTGTTTTGGGAAGCGAGAAGCGGAAAAAAGCGACAAGGGATCGCTTCACAGAAGCGAGAAGCGAGAAGCGAAGCGCGCGCTTTTTTAAGTAAAGCGATATTTAGTATAAAAATAAAAAAATATTAAATAACTGAATAGAGGTAATATATTCTTAGATTAAAAGTAAATAGATAGTCAATAATACTCATAAGTCATAACATATAAAGCAAAAAATCAAAAACATAATTAAATCACAAAAGAATTAAAAACTTCACTAGTTACTACAAGCAAAAAAGAAGTGTCACTTAGTAACAAAACAACAAATTTACTAAGTAAGAAAAATAAAGACTATTAAGATTTAAGAGCAGCAACCAGAGCAGTCACACT